GCACCTCATGTGGTACATGTGGTGGAGCGAAATTATGTACACAGGGTCCCAGTTACATCCAACAATAAAATGTCTAAGAAAAACAGTAATAACATCTAAGATATGAACTAAGAAAAACATCAACTAAATATACACTAAGCACTCATAACATAAAACATTGAACATCAGCACAAACATGAACATGAGTCTGTGAGCAGATGTGCACGCATGAACACATCAACATTGAAACAGATCAGCAGCAACATGAAACAGATCAGCAGCAACATGAAACAGATCAGCAGCAACATGAAACAGATCAGCAGCAACATGAAACAGATCAGCAGCAACACGATATGGTTTTTCACAGTGATTATTCTAGTTAGAGATTCATGAGTCTAACAGCCTCAGGGTAGAAGCTGTTCCTCAGTCTAGTGGTTCTACACTTAATGCTCCTTAACCTCCTTCCTGAGGGGAGTGGGGCAAAAAGTGTGTGTGCTGGGTGGGTGGGGTCCTTCATGATGCAGGTGGCCCTCTTCCTGCATCTGGAGGTGTAGATGTCTGTGATGGTGGGAAGACTGACTCCAACATCTTCTGTGCAGCCTTCACCACTCTCTGCAAAGCTTTTCTTTCTGCAGCTGTGCAGCCTCCATGCCACACGTTGATGCTGGAGCACAGGATGCTCTCCACTGCACACCTGTAGAAGGAGGTGAGGACTGAGCTTCCCAGACCAGCTCGCCTCAGCCGTCTGAGGAAGTAGAGTCTCTGATGAGCTTTCTTCATCAGGCTGGTGGTGTTGTTGCTCCAGCTGAGGTGGTTGTTCATGTGTACACCCAAGTACTTGTAGCTGGAGACCACTTCCACCGCAGATCCTCTTATGTTCAGGGGGGTGTAGATGTTTTTGTTCCTTCTGAAGTCCACAATCATCTCCACAAAGAAATATGGAAGCTACACGTGTTAGCATGTGAGAATCGATTACGTTATCGATCCCATCACGTTAGTATCGATCCAACACAAACGTTGGTATCAAATATTTCTGTAGTCTCAGTGAAGCCTGTCATGATAACAAATTTTGCTGGGCGATTGTCTCAGAAATTATTGTGATAAACGATAATATTGTTTGAAATTTAACAATAATTAATTGTCAAATTTTAGAAGAAATGTTGATTTGTTTGGAGTGTAGTATCTTTTTTGACCACCTGATGGCAGTATAAGACTGTTTTCAAAGGATGGACAGTGAGGGAGCGAGCAGCGTGTCTCTTTAAGAAAAATGGGAGGGAGGCCCCTTGACGTGACATGGGCTGTCTCTCCTTCCTTTATTCGGTTCTCAAAATGGCGGACGCTCAGTGTGGTTTGAGCTCTTTAGCATTTTTCACACAAAGCTTTTAATAAAAAATCAGTAAACAAGTTCTCAGCTTTTTTTTGCAGAGAAAAACAACTTTTTACACGAAGGCACGAGTTTCAACCGTGAATTTTAGAGCGTCGACAAGATGGAGGTTTTTCCCCAAGGTCAGCCTGTTAGCTTAGCTTGTAGCTTAGCTTCTTAGCTGCTTTTAACGATCCAAAAACGCGATTCTGGATGGTTAAAATGGATTTTAAAGAGAAAAGATAAAGGGAGGGGTCAGTGAAGAGCACCGGAGTTGAGTCTTTTGTCATCCAGTGTCTTCAGTAGAAAGAGAGACATGAAGAAACAATAAAGCCGGTAAATAAAAATGATGTCGATAATTTTCATTTATCATCCGATTAATTGATTTATTGTTTATCGCGACAGGCCTAGTCTCAGCCATCCGGTAGAAGGGAATTTAAAAATGCCGAAGCAGCTGGACTTCTGTCCTGTAGCTGAAGACTTGGAGTTCTGATCTTTGGCCTGCATGACGCAGTATCAATATTATCAATACTTGTATTGATCAGATGAAATGAGACATGACAAACATTAGATATGATTCTGATTTAGTGCCACACATGAAAAAGACCCGGGCCAGATTTGAACAACAGAAACAGATTTACCACGTTCAGACAGTTGTAAAAATAATCAGATATGGACAAAACATTAGATTGGGGACTTTTTGGCTGCGGTGTGATTGTAGCCGATGACATAAAAGTTTGTGCCACTTTGTGAACTACAAACTTAAACTAATAAATTCTGCTCGTACGTCTTTCCTTCAGCTGCCTCGTTTTATTCCTGTTACTATAAACTTTCATTGTGTGCTGAAAGTCAATAACAGAACTGGAAAAATCTTTAGCATGTTCTTTCTCTATACGTTGATATGCCATTAACATGGACGCTCTCGCCACCTAGTGGCCCAACATGGGTACTACCATATTTTTGTTGTAATTTGCCACAGAATAAAATGTGGTAAATGAGCTGTACTTATACAGCTCCTTTCTATCTAATCAAGACGCTCAAAGCTCTTTACAACAATCTGTGCCTCATTTATGCATTCATACATCACTCTACTAGATCTATACAATGAATAATCAGAGCTTTATCGCATTCAGACACTGATGGGACACACATCAGAGGCAATGAGGGGTTCAATGTCTTGCCCAAGGACACTTCAACATGGGACTACTGGTGGAATCGAACCCTCAACTCTTGCATTGGAGGTCGACTGCTCTAACCACTCAGCCACAGCCGCCCCAAATATTTCACAGCACAATTTTTTTTAAATAAAATTCAGAGTAGTGTACAAAGGGCGTTGTGTTTTATTCATCATGGCCGCCCCCACAGATCCTTCAGGTCTCTGATCAGACTTGATGTCCAGGATTCAGTCAGAGGCTCAACAGGAAACAGGAAAAGGTTAGAACATGGAGTTTCAAAATAAAAATCTGGCGCTGTCATAGCTTTTCCTATTTTGATTCAGAGAAGAAAGTTGAAAGAAGTTGGAGTTCCAGGCTGTCGCTGCGTTGCTACCCTTCACAGAAAAACTCTGTTGCCTAAATTACTTTACCATTTTTTTTAATGAATTATTAAAACATATGAAAATGAGATCTTTATTTATTTTAAATGTTTGTTCCAGAAGATTCTGAGCTTCAGGAGTCTGGAACAAACAGCACCTCATTGTCCAACATGTTTTAATCATGTGCTCAGATCATGAATTTGTTTGTTTGTTTGTTTGTTTTGTTTCAGGAGCTTCAGAAAACAACAAATCTGATTAATTTAAGTTTAGAGCTTCAGAGAATCGACCGAGAACATGTTGAAGACAAAAGCTCCTCGTTGATCAGATGATGCGTTAACCAGACCACTGACGGTTTGGAAAATATGATTTCTCTTCTCAGAAGATGCACTGAGAACAGATCCGATCCCACTTCGGTTGGTCCGAGTGCCAAACCAGAGCCGGGTATGTGAACGGTTCGGGTCTACAGTTTCAGCCCAGCTCAGCAGAAAACTGCAGCGCTGAATGGAAAAAGGAACCCCCGAGGAACCGAGCGCCTGTTAGTTTTTCCATTCCTGGGAGGTATTTCTCATTTGTGCCTCGAATGTAAAGCTGAAGGATTTCCTCGTGAAAACACAACGCGCGGAGTCAAACTGAATAAAGCTGTTTGGTTCCTCGGAGCGTCACCTCAGTTTCTGTCTTTCACAGGAGAATTTAGATCCTTCAGTCAGAGTGACTTCAGTCGGTCCCAACACTTTGGACAGATTTCTGGAAAACGTCCGGGAGCTGAGATAATGCCAGCTGTTCCCGGCTCACACTGAAAACACGTGGAAAGAAAACTGGAAGTAAAGAAGTTGAACAGTTTTGTGTAAATATTCCTTAGAGCAGGAATAACAGGAGCGTTACTGACCACAGACACAATAAGGATACAATGAATGAGTAACTTAATTATTAATCTAATACTGAAGTATTTAATGTGACGGGACGCTTTGACCAAAATCATCAGGCTCCGCCCCCTTTCTATAACCGCTCAGATGGAGTCAAATAACACGATTGAAAATTCCAGCAACTGTTTAGGAGTTAACTTGTTTAGGTTTCAGTTTGTTTTTCAGTAACATTTTTTTTGAGCAAACAAAAAAAAGAACAAATGTATTTAAAAAAAATCTTTAAATTTGTTAAAAATTTGAGAAAATACTTATAAAGTTTAAGTTTAAGTTAGTTAGCTGACATGTCCAGTTTTAAGAATAGGCTTAAGACTCCCCTTTTTGATAAATCCTATAGTTAGGGTTGGTTGGGTTTCCTGAGCTGTCCCTTAGTTCTGCTGCTATAGGCTTAAAGACTGCTGGAGGACAAAATGACCTCATGTCCTCTCTCTGCTGCGTCTTTACTGTCTCTACTCTGTTTGTATTTGTAATTATTTCTGTCTTAACATGTTTTTTTGTTTTTCCTCCTAAAGAAAGTACACCTGGACTATAGAAACCTGGACCTGTCATTCTGTGTCTGTTTCTACTTCCTGTCCTCTCAAACCAGCCGGTTGAAGCAGACGGACGCTCGTCCTGGGTCTGGTTCTGCTGGAGGTTTCTTCCTGTTAAAGGGAGTCTTCCTTTCCACTGTCTCCTTTGTGCTCGCTCAGGATGTGAGACTGTGATGAAGATTCAACACAACCTGCTGCTTCCTCAGAGAGACAACTTTTACTAATTGTCTTTCATAATGTCTGTGAGTGTTTCTGTTCGGTTCCCTGAGACGACTTCTGTTGGAGCTGCAGAAACAAACTGAGCTGATTTATGAAAGTTCAGGACTCTGAGCAGCAAACCGGGTCGCCTCCAGAACTGAACCATCTGATGGCTCCAGAGCTAAAAGTCCTCATTCAGCAGAGCCACCGGTTCTCGGTGCATGTTCCTTCATGTGGGAGGAAACATTTGCACCATGCCATGAGGAGGGGGGGGGGGGGGGTCTAAAACCTGAACGAGTCAGGTCAGAACCAACCTGGCATCACTTCAGAGATCCTGATGAGAAACACAAGTTTTTAAAGTCCCTGAGATGTTCGGAGTCAGGAGCTGAAAACTGAACCCCTCAGTAACTCCCCCCATCAGTGAGGGGGAGGACGGGGGGGGTTCTGCTGTTCTTCAGTCACTGGGAATGTTCTGAGAGAGGATCCAGCTCTGCAACCAGCTCTGAGTGGAGTTTAACCTGGGACACCCCCGAGGTACAGCACACACACACATCTGGGGTACGACACACACACACAGCTGGGGTGCAACACACCTGTACTTATAGATAAGCATGTTACCTGCAGCAGTTGTTTTGACTCAAGCGGAGGCTCTCGTCAGTGAAGCAGCTTTCTGCTGAAGGTGGAGATCCTTCACAGATGAATAATCTGATCATCTGAACGAGACTTTGTCAGAATATTTCCACCCGAGATTAATTTAAATCAAAAGGTGTGGAGGAAGACGATGAATTTCACAGTGAAATGAAATTTAATTTAGACAGGTTTTATTTTAGATTTAGACACAAACTGGAGTCACATGGAACAAAAAGAAACTCTAAGCTCTGAACTAAACAAAATAACTTAACACATAATAACAGAACAAAATAATTCATGGATTTAAATGTTTACACTTTCTAAATGCTCACCTACCTGTAAATATGTATTCTAGATTAAAAAAATAATCTTGTTCCACCGTGAGCATCAGCTTCTCCGGGACATGGCATTAGTGTTGTATGAATTACACCATTGTTTTTGTTGACTTAATGTTTTAATTCAGTTTAACGACATCAGCGTGTCACATTAAAGCAACTACAGACTGTAGCTAAATGTAAAGATTGTCCCAGGAGGCTTTCCGTACCGGGTCTTTACTCTGGGGGTCAGGGGGTGCTGTTTTATCACAGAGTTGGGGTCCACAAATCTTTCCATGGCGAGACAAAACCAAAAAACATTTATTTTTACATTAAAACAATAAATGTCAGTGAAACCAGAGCAGGTTAATCTCACATTGAACGTCTCGGAGCTGATGGATGACACGGTCCGATACCTCGTTCTGCTGTTCACCGCTGATTTTACTCAAACGAGCGCTCCTTGAAGGAATGCATATCGCCCACCATCTTCTAAGTTTAAAACCTAAAGCTGCCTCAATCTGTCGGCACTCAGAGGGCGTGTCGGGGATGACTCTCGGCTACTACCACTCCACATTCCAGCTCAGTATCTGTGAAACGGACTGGTCTTGGAAACTAAACAAAAATCCTCAGATTTGATCATCTCCAGTTAAGAATCTTCTTTTTCTTTAAGTTTAAGTTCCATTTATTAAACGTCTGAATATCTGAAGTAGAGCCAGAGACCCAAGAGGATCCAGAAAGTGACGTTTCGGGTCAGAAGCACAAACGTCTTTAAATGAAACCTTCATGAAATCTGTGATGAATGTGCAGACGGGGGATAAAATGCAGGCTGGGTGCAGAAGGAGGGGGTCGTCTGTGCAGAATGTGCTGTCGAAGCACAACGCTCCACCACCGCCACATATTTGTGGGCGAACTGAAGATTTGACTGAGCAGTGGGGTGGGGGGTTCTGTCTCCATCTACACGGGCAGAACCAGGCGGTCCGAGCCTCGCTCTGCGGTGAGCGTGTAACACAGGAAGACGTATCGATCACTTTGCGAAGCGCCGCAGATGATGAATAGGCGAGAGCCGGGTAAATATTTACCTTGGCTGCAGGAACTCGGGGCCCAGAGGACGATTTCAGGTCAGGTAGAAAATAAAAGCTGCAGGTTCGGAAAGGGACCCGTCCAGAACCTCTGAATGCCCTGAAAAGGTTTGATTTGGCTCCACTGCTGCGGAGGAATCTTAATAATCTTAAGTATTTACCTAATTCTGACCAATAACTGATCAGTGGAAACATTGTTCACATCACAAACTTTATTAATGTCGACGACGATCCGAGTGGAACGAGCTCATCCAAGAGTCCTGAAGAGAACCAGAACCTGGACCAGTTTAACCTCCTGTGTTCGACTCCTTCGGAGCCAGGATCTTAAAGAGTTGTCGAACGACACCAACGACTCGTCGGTGATTTCGTGCATCAAGTTTAGACCCGCGCCTCAATAAGTCCAGCAGAGGAAACACATTTTACAAGAAAGTCCGGTTAAACAAGCGGTTCACCGGCGTCCCCGTCTCCGAGGGCCTTGAACAGTGAATGTTTGTGGTTTTGGACACGAGTGTTTTTCTGGACTGGAACTGAATGAAGTAAACCTAGATGTTTTTGGTGCAACGTATTCCAATGGAGGAGTTACACTGTGGAGAACAGAGGAAGGTTTTTATTTCTTGTCCAAGGCGGCGCTGATGCTTCAGTGTGTTTAATGTGTTGTGTGCGTTGATTGATTTACAACATCACATTATGTTTATCCATTTATAACTACCGGTACTATATTATCTCTTCGGAACATCTAATGTGCCTGACAGTCAATTTTAAAGTGTGATTTCTTTAAATCTTCTCCAGACCTCCCAGTCTGTGTTTTGTGTCCCTCAAAGGGGTCCTGACTCCAACTTTGGGAACCAATGCTGTAGAAGTCCACAACCTAAAATGTTTACCGCTGCTTCTTCACGTTAAGCTGAAATTGGGGTTTGAGATGGGGTGGAGGCAGGTCAGCCGACTCGGGACCCGAAAGTCCCAGGTTCGATCCCCAGTCATTGCACATCTGGTGGTGTCTCTGAGCAGCACACCCTGTCCCCAATTGCTCCCCAGGCACTTTCAATAGCTGCCCACTGCTCCACCTGGGGGTGGATAGGTTAAATGCAGAGAGCCAGTTTCACCGTTGAATGGGAACATGCAATGATGACAACACATTATTTGTATTACTATTATTAAATATGAAAAGATAATGAAGGCCCTCATGCTCAGCTGTTCTTAGAAACCGTTACTGGTTTGGTTTATGAAGGTTAGCCCTAAACACCACGATAATTCATTGATGAATGTAGACCAAAGAAAGCTGAAGCACAAAACAGCTGGAATAAATTTTAGTCTGCTCCTGAAGCCAAAGTTAAAGAAGCTTTTCTTTTTAAGCTGCTGTTTGGTTTGGAAATCAGGAGGTTTCAACACAGAGAAGGTTCTGTCTCGGTCCATTAACACTTCACTGGAAGAACAAAAGTCTGTTCTAGTGCGTCTCATTCACGGTGTTTGGGTCGCTGCTGCTCCAGGGTGGACCCGCTCTGCCAGGACGGTGTTTTTGTTTCGTTCCTGGAACAGTGAGACACAAACGTTTCTTTCCTTAAAGTGTCTCCACTTCAGTCAGCAAAATCTCCAGGAATGCTTCAAGAAGCCACGGTGGTGCTTAAACTTCATTAGTCCATTTCCTTAAAGTAAATCCGCCAATTTTTTTTATTAAAACACTAACCTTGAACAGAAACTTCTCTTCTGACATGTCCGGTGTGACATCTGCATTTGGACAGTTTGGTCTTTTAAAAACTCCAACGCTCCAGAATATTCTCATAAAAACATTTAGTGGACACTGGATCAGCTTGAAGGAGAGTGAGCTCATCTTCTCAGGAGAGACGCACCGACTCGTCCAAAACTGTGACGTCTTTAAAAGCTCAGGTCAACATCAGTCAAACAAAGCCTGTCTTCTTCTGAAGCCATGTTCGTAGACGGCCGTTTCATCTGCTGCGGACATTGTTGTAACTTCCTGTTTGACCGTTGTCCAACCCTGTACTTTAGCTTGAGTCTGACCCGCCTGGTTTTTGCTTCGGGACCGCATCTGTTTTCTCATTTTAGAGAAAAGAAACGTGGGATGTAGTTGAAATAAAAACCCCATCGGTGAGTTGTTTGACCTCCGAACAGTAATTTTATTTTGATTCCACATAACTCGGGCACCTGTGAAATCTATCAGTGCTTGGAATAAAACTGCTCTATGTGCTTCCAGCAGGCGGACGACTGATGATCTGGAACAGGTTTTATGATTTTTTTATGACTGAGTGAATTTATTTAACAACCTCTGACATGAAGATGCTGATCTTTGACATGTTCTATAGAGGACGGGTTCCCACAGTAGCTCATCTGCCTCCATCGGCTTCTATCCCATCATCCTTCTCTGTGGTCTTCCTCATCTCCTCCTGGGCAAGTCCATCTTTGGTTCCCCTCCTCTGGACATGTCCAAAACATTTTGTTGCTTTGGATGGTTCTCTGTAGGTCTTCATCAGTTTCTCTCATGGTTCTGGTGGAGCTCTGGCCCACTCTTCATTCCATCACTGAATACTCCGCTCAGCTCTCTGAAGGTCCACCACAGCATTTCACTCAGGCCGAGGTTTTGGACTCAGACTGGGCCGCTGCAGAACCTCGGTTCTGTTCTTTGTGACCCGTTCTGTTGTAGAGCAGCTGCTGTGTTTGGGATCATGATCCTGTTGGACCCAGTTCAGTCCAAGCTTAAGCTGCTGGACAGATGGACTCACATTTGACTCCAGAACCGTTTGGTCTACAGGAAGTCATGGTCCACTCAATGACTGACAGGTGACAGTTGGTATAAAGAGTTCAGTTACTAGTATATGAGCAGCAATGCATTCTGGGTAAACATCTGTCCCGTGGTCTCATTGTTCCAAAGATTCTTTCAGCTAAAACCAAGCGGTGATGCCATGTTGTTTTTGGAGAGATGTCCCTGCGCAACCCCTTTAAACAAAGCATACATGCTCAGTCTTATTCTAATATTTCTGCAATGACCTTTGACCTTTACCCTGCCATGTGAGATCTGATAGTCCAAAATAGTATTAGACAGAGCACTGCACGGTCTGACCTTTGAGGCAGATGTGCTGCCATAAAGACTCTGTGGAATCTGTTGTGTTCTTGTTCACTTCAGATGAGGTCAGATTCAGGTCTCTCTTATAAATGAGACCCGAGTCTCAAAGGGACTAACCTGTATAAATAAAGGTTGAAAGAATGAGTCATGTCGTTGAAAAACTGCTAAAGAACCAGATCAGGTTAATATTGTCCTGATATATAAAACACTAAAAGTGAAGAAGGGTTGACTCGTTTCTCCATGGATTGTAACCTCTGTTCTACTGTGAGTTGGTTCTAGAGACAAACTAACCTCTGTTCTCCTGTTTGATGGTTCTAGAGTTAAACTAAACTCTTCTCCTGTGAGTTGGTTCTAGAGTTAAACTAACCTCTGTTCTCCTGTGAGATGGTTCTAGAGTTAGACTAACCTCTGTTCTACTGTGAGA